CAACACAAAACCCTTGTGGAAACCCGCATACACACTACGTGCGCTCGAGGGAAACGAATGGGAAAACCAAACCTGGAAGTTATGCATATGACAAGAAAATGCAACTACCAAGAAGTAAATCTACTCACATAGATAAAAATCAAAGGTACATGCAACACGTCTCCACATAAGCACAAAAGCATCTCACAAAAGTACAGTAACAACATAGCATCTCTAAGCATATAAAGAAGGCATGCTAATGCCACACAACAAGAAGGCAAATGTGGATAGACCTCCACCTACTCATGCATTACAATAACATAAATCATACTACTAACATGGTAGTAAACGAAACTGCAGAAGATAACATGATGTAACAATGAACCCTATGGACATCGTGTCCTAGAGTGTCCAAGAAAAGAAAGGACAATTCCTAGCCACAAACTGACTTCAAAACCAATGCGATAACAACCTGTCTCCGAACAAACGTGAGCCCTTACCACAACGGTAAGACTCTAACAATCCATCTCCGAATCTAGAAGTGACACTACAAGTGACACTAACAGTGCAGTGCTCTCACTACCCGTAACATCAATCAATCGACTTAATCCCAAAAGCGTCATCACGCAAGAACTCCTCAAGGAAAATGGCAACTACAGTCATACCAATAACAACTAAATCAATCACCACGACTGATCGCCAAAACAACCATCATCATCACCGATCAAAGGACAATGCCTATCAAAACAAAACCAACATTGATTCCATCCGAACTGCGCTTGTAGCTAGCCAGTACGGTAACATGATAGTGCCATGCACCCGCCCACAAACGTACCCACCCACGAAAATTGCAATCCCAGAGGAATCATCCTGATCAACCAAGGATCCTAAGAGGTCCATAACCTCATCATGGCTCAAAATCAACAAATCCACCACTATGGTAACGCCAAATGACTCATCTCACAAGAGCCTAAATAAAAGGTGACCATCCACCTACCTCAAAACCAATTCTAGGTCAACAACAACCTACATCACCACGAGACTGTGACTACAATCACCATCCACCTCAACTCGTGCCTCAATGACCAATCCCATGCCATGCCAAATATGTAACACAATTATGCATATACAATTCTAATCTAGCATACGTCACATGTCATGCTCTTTACATTAGAATAAAACAATACTAAACAAATAGCATACAACATGTAGCACGTAAGCACATAAACATGTTATCATAAAGTATATAAAGACATTGAGCATGGCAACAAAAGCATGATATGCACCCAAAACTCGTCGTCCTAAGGTTTTCGAACCTAGGAGCTCTGATACCACTTGTGACGGCCTAAGTTTTTCAACCCGGTGCATCATTGATGAACCGAAAGATGACCCGATAATGGATCTGAAATGCTGAAGTAAAAGACAAAACAACGGTCTCTAGAGATACAACATGGCTCTAAGACACCATTATGACCCTCAACGAGGTCACGGAACCCAAAGGAATCAAATGGGGAAGCAACGTTTCAAAAACGAACAAGAATGAACCTAAGGGCAAAATCATCATTTCCAGCTTAAAAGTGGGTGCCACTGAGCACACCATTGGAAAGACAATGAAAAATTAATGAATTTAGACTCAAGAATTACTTGATTCAGAGTCCGGATGAAAAAGATATGGCTAACGGTAGAAGAAGGGGCAAAACGGTCAAAAAGGGGACAACCAAGAACATCTAACTGGTTAGGAAGCCAAAAATCTCTACCAAAGCACTGCCCATACACATGTAACCGGTTACGAAGCCCCTTCTAACCGTTTACATCTGAAGGAGGCAGAATGGGCAGCCCAAAAACCTGGTAGCAGGGGTTTTTCTGGGAAAAATGGAAATTTTAGGGCCAAGATGACATTTTCTGGAAAAACTCAAAGAAGAAACCCCACTCAAAATTGAAGTTTCTATGTAAGTCGCAAAAAAATAAAAAAAAAACTCACTGTGAAATGCCCAAAATGCCCTCCCAAGAAAACTGGTCCAGAGGGTCCAAAAAGCTACTAAATTTAAAAACTGAAAGCTGAACTTCGGATGCGATTTCCGATGCCAAGATGGCATTTTCTGGAAAAACACGAAGAAGAAACCCCCCCCCCCCCTAAAATCACATTTTCTCAGTGACTATGTGAAGAACGAAATTTATTTCCCAAAGGAAATTCCCAAAATACCCTTAGGTCAGAATATGCAACAAAAGTTAAAAATGAGTCCGTAGGAGGCTCATTTCACCAAAGAAAAAGCTTTGCCCGGAAACAACCATGCAAACAAACGTAACTTACCTAATAAGATGTGCTACAATGGTCCATGGCTCAAAAATATGGCCGATACAAAATATGACCCCCCAACGGCCAAAATGCCAAAAACGAATTTTAGAACAAAAACTTGGAATTTAAAATCATGAGATGGTTTCAAAATGTCGTTTGACCCTTGACCACACTTCATACATGGTGAAAGAATCACTACAAGAAAAATGGTCTTTTACGATATAGTATCTACGGCATTTTTTTGTTTTGCCCCGTAATAACTACCTTCTAAGGGGTTTATAAAAGAATCCTCGTAATTGTTACATTTATGGACATACTTTCACGAGGATTTAGCAAGATCCTCGTAGAAAAACATTTTTACGGTGTATTAAAGACGTCGTGAATATTTTAATATTTATGGCATATTTGTACACCTTTAACAGGATAAATATTCCTCGCATAAATTTTCACATTTAAGGCATCTTTTTTGCCCCGTAAATAAACAATAAAACTTGCCCCCAAAATTTTCCTCTCCGCGCCAAAATTTTCACACTCCCGCGCAATTAAAATCACTTTAAAAATATATACATAAAAAAGAAAAAAAAAAAAAAGAAGAAAAAAGAACTTAAGAGACATATATCTCTTCGCCTCAGACCCATTCACATTTGGAGACCCAGACACATGAGGAACCATATTTTTTTCCCTCGGTGCAGTTCCCAGATTAGATCCACACAGCCCGCATGCTCAGGCTTCTTCTCTTCATGGTTGCTTTTGTTCAATCTTGGAGTTCTGATTCACGCTTCTCTTCGTGGTTGCTTTTGTTCAATCTTGGAGTTTTCGGCCAAATCGCGTTGTCGGGTAAGCTTCGCTGTCCCAAATTAAGAGCAATCAGCGGTGGAAAGAAAGGCTTCCAACACCACCATCACCGACGAGATTGCTGGACCTGTAAGTGGTAACACAAAACAACCACACAGAAAACACGTCTTAGCAGACCATTTATCCCTCTTTCATCAAGCCCTAATATTTCTCTTCTTGAAATGGAAAAGCAAAATTCAATCTCTGTCCTTGGCTTCTTCAAACTTGTATCATGTTACTTGGATTTTCTTTCTATTTTCTCTGTTTTTGTTTCCTTTTTTTGTCTCTTGTTGTTTGATTATTGTTGCAGGTAGAGGAAAGATCATCAAACCCCGCCAAATGGATACCAAGAATTCTTCTTCCAAAAGAAAAACCTCCAAGATCCCCTCTGAGGTATCTGTCCCTGTACTCTTTCCTTCTCTCTCTCTCTCTATATATATATATATGTCATAATTCTTAATTTTTTTCTAGGGTTTTATTTCCCCTTTTTATTGGCTAGTTCTAAGGTTTAATTTATTGAATTTACACTCTTGATTTTGCCTTTTTTATTGAGACCTTTCTAACCTAATTTATGCACCATGTTAATGTATGTTGCCCTGATGCGGAGATGATGGAGGACGACTTGTCTGTACAGAGAGATTAAGAACCAAAGATATAACACAGAGTAGAATCGAAGAATTATTGGCAGGTACATTTTGTTTGTTGCAACATTTTTTAAACCGAACCTTTGTTTGGTTTCTTAGTTATATTTTTAGTTACTATATGTCCATGTCGTCAATGTATTGACTCAGTCTCTTTAATCCACCTATTCTGTCTATGTGAAATGGTGAAGTTACTCTGTCATACTGTATAAGATAGTATTTGCCTTCCATCTGTGTACTCTAAAATCTTAGGGCAAATCATGAAATTGAATATAACATTAATCAATTTTATGATTGCACATTTTTAATGCTTTTTACTCATGCTCGAGGGGGTCAAAACTTCAACTTCGATTAATGCAAGAAGATAGTAGAGGCAATTGAAGCAATGTAATAGCCTATGTAATCTTGAAGAAAGAATACCATGAACATATACACATATACAGTATATGAATAACAACAGAATGTCACCAATCACAAAAATAAATCCACATTGCATCTAACTATGTATAGTAACAGAATATATTTAATTATAGAGATAGGCATGCAGACTGCAACATTTTAATTAACTGTCAAATGTGTGCAATATTGTTCATGTGAACTACCTAAAACTTGAGCACATGATTAAAGTGCCCACACACACACACAGGGAGAGAGAGATGTTCTTCCTGCTCTCAGTCAACTTAAAAAGTAGCTAGAATTGATGAGAACACAGCTAGTCCTAGGATATATGAAAAGTAAAACTGAACATAAAGAGCTCTAGAGTATAACACAACAGTTTTTGAAAATTAAAAGTAAAGACATATATAAGCAAGGAATCTTTTTTGGGAACTAACATAAAGAAGACCAAATATATGGCACAGACAACTGTTAGAATATATATATATCCATTCATGCATGCAGGCATTCTCTGAATGTACTCCTGCATGTCCAAATTTGGAAAGAGCAGAACTTGTCTCCTGAAGCATATATATATATATATATATATATGAAACAGCTATACTCAAATTAATTTATGATATGTATATTGTCTAAAATGAGAATTAATGAGCATCTATAACAGATAGTTAGTTCATTAAAAGCAATTGATCAAACCCCAACATTCAAACCATAAAATAAGTCTAACTGCTAAAGCATCCATGCCTGTCCTTACAACTTTATTCTATAATAATAATAGTATTAGACTAAAATAGTAATCATTCAAGAGTGAAAAACACCACCCAATTCATCATAAAAACCTTTTAATTTCTACCCTAATAGCTGCTAGTTGGTGGAATAGCTGCACACTGTCTGTCCACAACCTCAATAAGTTTGTTGGCAATTGCACTAGCATACACTGATGAACCTTCACATATCTGCAACATAAACAAAACACAAACTGTCAAAACACACCACATTTGATATATATATATTTCAATGAAATTGGGTGATCGATGAAATTGAAAAATTACCCACCTTGGTGTTGAACAAATAGCTGTAGTAATCGCCAATGTGGCCACCGACAACATGGTGCTGATCCAACTGGAGCTTGTCGAGGACCTTTGACACGAACATCAGGCAATTAATTCTTTTTTGCTGAACAACCTTGATGGTTACTTCATCGTCGATGATACGAACATTGACCTCCGTGTTCTTGGACTTCCTCTGAAGCCTCGAGCTCCTTAATGATGAACCACTATAGGACTGGTCTTGATCACCACCAGTGGGCTTTATGTTACAACTCTCTACATCTCCAGAACCAACATCTTCTGTCTTGTGCCTCTTGCTCCTGTCCCTGCCACATCTCTTCTTCTCCACCAGGATTTTTAGCTCATTCACTGTCCTAATCAGCTCTTTGATGTATTCAATAGCATCTCCAACTACTGATGCTCTATCAATCTTAGTTGTACTCATACCAAAATAAAACAACATATAGAATGAGATAAAATTAAATTTTTAGAGCATCAGTAGCATCTCCAACTACTGATGCATTATCAATCTTAGTTGTAGCTCTTTGATGGTTTTCATTGATTGCATTTTAATTTGTTGAATCATTAAATAAAACAACATATAGAATGAGATAAAATTAAATTTAATCATGCTATAAAGCCAAAATCTCTCTATATATTCACACACTCCATAAGTCATGATAGAATTTAAACATTACATGTACTTGTAACTGTCTCCATAAGTCCTGACAAAAGATTCAAAATTTCGACAGAGGAGTTTTCTTAGTAGATTTTTTTTTTTCCCCCTTCAAATTTGAATTTGTAGTGATATGTTTAGTTTGAAAGAAACATAGTTACACTAGAAGGGGTTGATGATTTTTTAATCTTTTTCTATGTTCTAAGAAAAATCACTTATAAAAAAAAAATGTTCTAAGAAAAATCAAACACAGATATATTTTTCACTGAGTAGTCATCATGTATCATAAACCAAAATTGTGTAAATCAAACCCAATTTCTAAAACACAAAATTAAACATATATATATATATATATATATATATATATATATATATTATTATCATTTGTATAAAATTTATTCTGTGGAAATGTAGATATATATATATATATATACTTACAGAGGATGGTGGTGTTGAACATATGGGAAAGGGCTGTGATTAAGCTATGGTAGTCTTGGTGGGCAAAGAGATCTAATTTTCTACCAATGGGAAAGCCTTCCATGTACACCTTCACAAACAAGGCTACAGCTGCATAGAATTGGGTATTTGCATTCCTCGATGCAACCCTGCTACTCAAAAGTGGCTTGATTGGTGGCCAACCCAACCTTTGCTTCCTATACACACACACACACACACACACACACACACACACACACACACACATACACACACACACACACACATATATATATATAAGAAATTAAAGAAGGTATATGAGAAAGGTGAAATGTATTACTAAGAATAATAATAATGTATATTTGTGATGAATTAATTGAATTTATTAGATTGGTACCTTGAGTGGACAGGGCTTGAAGAAAAGAGAGAAATAATCTTGATATTGATGAAATTGGGAATTAGGAGAGGGTGGGGAGATGTTGAGACCAAGCCTGAGATCAGTGCTCAAATCCTTGCTTGTTTTGGGGATCTGATTTTTATCATCACAGATTAGAGAAGATGAAGAAGAAGAAACAGAAGAGACAGAAGGGAGGTAATTGTTGGTGCTGTTGCTATCTATGGATGAACAACCACCACCACCACCACCACTTCCACCTTTGCTTGCTTTTTTTGACACTTATGCTAAAGAAATGCAGTTTGGTTTTCTTATATGAAGTTAGTAAACCAGAATATCATGTTTATCACTTTTGGAAACGGAAAACTTGTAATTGAATAAGGCATTAAACAAATTTAAATATGGTCAGGCTTGGTAAGATGAATAACACTTTTTCTTGCTTATACATAGGTGATGGTTCTGTTTCTATGATGAAATTTCAGGTAATTTAACATTCATTGCAATGTTTTCTCATTTTATTATGTTGTGTTCAATAATGAATGCCTTTGGAAGTTGCTTCCAATTTTTGTTGTGTTCAATAATGAATGTCTTTGGAAGTTGCTACCAGTTTTTGTTTTGTCCATGAATGTCTTATTTTCAATTTTCTTTTTTTCTTGGAGATTATAATGATTCTGCAACATAAAAATATATAGGTTTTAAATTTATTTTCCGCGAACAAGATCTTTTAAGAAGATAAATATCTTCATGCATCGACCCTTTGAGGGAATTCTCAAAGACCTACTCGTTCATTATTTAGTGTGTCCAGTTCTCTTTGTGACCCCAACAAGGTTTATGACTTCGTCTTGGAACTGAAAAAGAGGTTTGGGGTGAATTAGGAGGATTGCTTCACCTCAAGATGCAAATTAGATACTGCTGTATGTATTCTTGTTTATGGAGTCTTTTTGTGTTCTTAGGATGGTGCACTATTTGGTTAAAATAAAGGGTACACTTTGCTGTGTCCTTGGGATAATTCCTGTTAAAGAATTTAGAAAAGTTACAAATCTTTATGCAGCTCTTGTAATTTTCATTTTTCTTCAGAAAAAAGTGCTAGCCGTTGTAGAAAAAAGGGAAATAAATAAACTTTGGTGTGCTTGCTTGGTTTTAGATAAAGTTTACATTATAACCACGAGTTAAAAAATGGTCTAGTAACTACAATGATTCCTCTTAATAAAAATCAGTTTTAAAAGACAGATTAGGGAAGTGAGATATATATATAACAAAATAAAAAGAGGGCTATAAATTCATTTTATTAAGAGGTGAGTAACCTAGTGGATAAATAAAAATGAATTTGAAGTGAGAGCGTGTGCATATATCAACGTATGTACATGTACACACACAATTTATAGTAATAAGTTTTGGGTTTGATATGATTAATTAAAATGGTTAATTGGCAAGGGAAGGAGGCATTGGTGGATCACTTTGAGAAGTCTATGTTTCGGTGTGATACGAATTCCTGCCTGTGTGTTTCAGCCCAGCAAGAGATGGTTCTGGTAAGTGGGTGAAACAATGTTTGGTCGGGGAGCGTATTTAGAGATATATATATATATATATATTAATTAATTAAGGGTTTAGTTTAGGTCTAGCTAGGGATGTGTATGTGAAAAAGAGGGTGGAAGTTGGCACCTGCGTGCATGGACTTGTGATGTAGGGGGCCTAGGGGTAGGTGATGGGTTCCACCCTTTTTGAGAAATCCAGTAGTTTGTTATAAATGAAAACTTTACTTGCATATAGAAAAATGATTTTTCAGAGAGATATAGATATATATATATATGTGTGTGTGTATATCTATAGCTATATGTGTATAATATCGTTATATGAAGGAAGGCTTAAGTGGATATAGAGAGAGAAAGTGAGTATAGAGAGAGAAAGAAAGGGACTGTAGCGTGCAACGACCGGTTCTGGAAACCGGCGAGATAGTTGTTTGGGTTGTTTGATGTTACGAACGTTTCGTGCTTCTAGACAACACGCCGTCTGTTGAGGGACGGAGGTTATGAGGCATGAGGGACTTGGGCAATTGGGTTTCACTTTTTTGTTTGTCCATTTGGGGATTAGAATATTAGGCTGGCTTGGCTCAATATTTTAATTATATATATATATATATATATATATATATATATATATATATATATATTTAAAATAATAATTAGAAGAAAAAAATTAAGAAAATTTTACTATTATCAATTTATAAAAATTATTTTATGAAGATTAATGCTAAAATAACTGACATATAGAAAAATGATTAAAAAGATTAACCGGAGCACTCGAAGAGTACCCCCTTCTTTGTAGTCCGGTCCCATTAATATTAATTCCAATCATTTGAAAAATTATGCATAAGAAAGAGGCTATATCAAGTATAGAAGGTTGTTTAGAAAATTGACACTCAAAAATTAACCAAATGGACTAGCAAAATTGGAACACCTAAAAGATCTCATTTGCTGCTAATTCTCTTTCATTCCTATAGTTTTCTCACTTCTGGAAAATAGAGACATTTTCTAGGCTTGACTCCTGTGTCAGGAATGCACCAAACATGCTGATTTTACATTTAAGAAATTGCATTGCCATTGTCTTTCAAATCTACATACCTTCTTAATTGAAACTCTTAACATGTTTCACATTGAGAGGTATTTATGCATGTAGAAACTATAAAAAAATAAAAAAGGAATAAAAAAGGAAAATCTTGTGGCATGAGTATGAATGCACTATGACAATGTTCAATTGTTTACACAGTGGGCAGGGTACCATATCATTGGAGCATTTGGAGCAAGCCCCGCAAATAGACACTATAATAGTTCCTATGTGATTTGTTTAATGAATTCTAAGTATTAATTCATCTTTTCTATTCCTGCATCATCTTTATTACTAATTTGATGAGCTTTCCATTTTTTTCTGGTAAAAAAAATTTAGGTGGAGGTTTGATATCTGGGGTTACATTGGCTGCCAAGTTTATCAACCCTGCTATTCGAGTTTTGGCTGCTGAATCAATGGGAGCACCTACTTGCTTAGATTTTTTACCGTGTAAAATGAGGTGGTGCTTTTGACAAGTGTAGATTGAAACTCAATTGCTAAGAGATTGATTTTTTTTTTTTTTTTTTTTTTTTTTTTGCAAATGGCTTTATTTCATATTTTGGCACATTGATCAATCATGAATTCTTGAATTGTAAAAATATTTTAAGTCTTTTGATATGTTTAATGTGGTATTTCAAGATATTGTTTTGGTTATGGTTATTGACATTAACATATAGAATTGAAATTATGAATGTGTTAATATATATTTGAATTAAATGATCGTTGAAAATTGATGCCAAGTGCAGGTTGTGTGAATTATTAGGTAGCATTTAAGGGTAATGTTTTATAATTTTTTTTTTAAAAAAAAAAATTATGTTATCTACGGGGAGCTTGAAATCCCCGTAAATATTATTTACGGGTAGTTCAAATTCGCCATAGAAAACTTTTCTACGGCATCCGTCAGTGCCTTGTGAGATTATTTACGGGTAGTTAAAATTCGTCGTAAAAAATTTTTCTACGGCATGTGTCAGTGCCTCGTGAGATTATTTATGGGTAGTTATAATTCGCCGTAGAAAACTTTTCTACGGCATATGTCAGTGCCTCGTGAGATTATTTACGGGTAGTTACAATTCGCTGTAGAAAACTTTTCTACAGCACACTTCGGTGCCTCGTAAGTTAATTATTAACGGGTAAATACCCATGTTGTAAATAAATTTAAGTATTTACGGAACCCTCATACACGAGGGCCTACAATGTGTCGTGAATAACTTTTCACAGCGCTTTTGACCCCTCGTAGAAGCCCTTTTTTTCTTGTACTGAATGCTAATGGAAAAATCAAAATGGAATTCCCATACCCAATGCAAACATGGTGAAACAAAAACTCAATATTTTTTAA